TAAAAAAAGATCTGCCTTTAAAGACCTTCCTATTCCAATTCTAGGTTCTGATGCCATCTGCTGCTGAACATGAGTAACTTCATATCATTTGTTTTAAAAAACAATTGCTTGTTGGGGTGGGGCAAGGTGAGTGACTCACTGAAATACCCCCAGAATAAAGTGGAGGGGTTTTTCTTTATTAGAATGATTGGAGAGGCAAAATGCTCCTAATGTTGAACTGGAGTGAAAACCATTTGAAAACCCAGTGAAAGCAAAGTAAATTGAAACTCTGTAACTAGCATGGTATTCCACAGCATGTGATCGTAGCACATTGCCACAGTGAAGCATAGAACTGGAAGGGCCCTCGAGAGGTCGTCTAGTCCAGTCCCCTGCACTCATGGCAGGACTAAGTATTATCTAGACCAGGGGAGGGAAAACTACGGCCCGCGGGCTGAATCCGGACCGTCGGGGCTTTCAATCTGGCCCGCGGGATTGCCATCCCCATGGCACAGCGGGGCTAGGGCGGGCTCCCTGCCTGCCCTGGCCCCGCGCTGCTCCCGGAAGCAGCCGGCAGCACGTCCCTGCGGCCCCTGGGGGAGGGGGGAGCAGAGGGCTCCGTGCGCTGCCCTCATCTGCAGGCATCGCCCCTCGCCACTCCCATTGGCCGGGAATGGGGAACCGCAGCTTATGGGAGCTTTGGGTGTGGAACCCACAGGTGAAGGCAGCATGCGGCAAAGCTGCCTGGCCCCCCCACCCCCCCCACCCCCAGGAGCCACTGCCGGACATGCTGGCCACTTCCGGAAGCGGCGCGGGGCCAGGGCAGGCAGGGAACCTGCCTTAGCCCCTGCTGCGCGCAACTGCCACCCCAGAGCCATTTGAGGTAAGCGGCGCCGGGCCGGAGCCTGCACCCCGAACCCCTCCTGCACCCCACACCCCAACCCCCTGCCCTGAGCCCCCTGCCGCACCCCAACCCCTTGCCCTGTGCCCCTTCCTGCACACCACACGACCTCCCACAACCTGCACTCCCTCCCGCACCCCACCCCCTGCCCCAGCCCTACATTCATGGCCCTGCATGCAATTTCCCCACCCAGATGTGGCCCTCAGGCCAAAAAGTTTGCTCACCCTTGATCTAGACCATCCCTGACAGGTGTTTGTTTAACCTGCTCTTAAAAATCTCCAATGATGGAGATTCCACAACCTCCCTAGGCAATTTATTCCGGTGCTTAACCACCCTGACAGTTCGGAAGTTTTTCCTAATGTCCAACCTAAACCTCCCTTGCTGCAATTTAAGCCCATTGCTTCTTGTCCTATCCTCGGAGGTTAAGGAGAACAATTTTTCTCCCTCCTCCTTGTTACAATCTTTTATGTACTTGAAAACTGTTATCATGTCCCCACTCAGTCTTCTCTTCTCCAGACTAAACAAATCTAATTCTTTCAAGCTTCCCTCATAGGTCATGTTCTTTAGACCTTTAATCATTTTTGTTGCACTTCTCTGGACTTTCTCCAATTTGTCCACATCTTTCCTGAAATGTGGCACCCAGAACTAGACACAATACTCCAGTTGAGGCCTAATCAGCGCAGAGAAGAGCGGAAGAATTACTTCTCGTGTCTTGCTTACAACACTCCTGCTAATACATCCCAGAATGATGTTTGCTTTTTTTTTGCAACAGTGTTACACTAACAACACTGTTGACTCATATTTAGCTTGTGGTCCATTATGACCCCCAGATCCCTTTCCGCAGTACTCTTGGGTGTCTGTGGCCCTTCCTCTCTGGTGCTGACCTCACATTAGTGATTCACACCTTTTTAATCTTGAGGCTAGTCGTTTGTGTGCTGTACTTAGGGGATACTCTTTAAAAGAACCCAGAATCTTGAGCTAGCGCAGAATATGTCAATACAGATCCTGAGTGGGGCGAATTGTGATGAGTATATATAACACTGGCATGCTGTGCCCTACCCTGCTTATCTGCTACTCCCAGGTGTAGTTCAAGTTGTTGCTTACGACTGCTAAATTCCACAATAGTTTAGGATTTATTTAACCTAGTGATCCCCTCTGTCCCACCTCTGCAACTATGGTTCATCAGGCCAGTGTTGGTTTCATTTTCTTGAGTGGTTAAACTCTTGATGGTTGCCTATCGAGGGATCAACCCTTCAGTATTTCTCTGACTAGATCGAACCTTAAGTAACAAATATAATTGCAGATAGGAAAGACAAAAAATAAATCCTAATGCTGTTTAAGCTTAATGCCTCCCAATCACAGGATAGCATCTTCCCACCTGCCCTGACAGCGGAGAGTCATGGAAGTGCTGACCTTTGGTCAGGCCAGTGACTTAAGCAGCTCAGAATCGGACAACATTTAATTTCACTGTATTGCTGACAGTATTTCACTTTCCTTTGAGTTAGAAGTAGCTGAAATTACTCACAGCCCAACTCTTCACTGCCCCTTCAAAGAGCTTTCTAAGTACCGAGCAAACAGTACAGGTACTTCCAGGGGCTTGCCCAAGACTATGAAATGAATTCCCACCGGCGCTAAGGATCATCACAAATCTCACCACCCTCCACTCTGAGTGCAAGGCACATTTCTTTCACCTTGCCTTGTCTAAGATATATTGGGGGGGGGGGGTGTTTGAATGTAAAAATTCCCAAACAAAACACTCCCCTGCACACACTTGTTACCCTGGGGAGAAAACGAGAGAACAAACACGTGACATGTTAGACATATCATTTAATGCACTTCTGGAAAGCACTCAGATACTACCATTATGAGCACAGTATAAGAACCTCTCTAAAATAGACTAGGGCTTACTTCTCTATGTTCATCCATATACAGATACTTCATACTCAAACGAGTAATGAAAATAATGCTTTTTTCAGCTTCATTGCTCCTGAGGCCTGTAGACAGGGCATGATCCCTCTGACTTGTTTTCTTTTCAAATGTGCTGCAGTTCTAACTCATCTGGTCTGTCCCTTTTGTGCATCTAATGTGGAACCTGGTTCAGGATCGCCAGACAGTTTGCTTCATTGTGCAGAACCTAACAACAGATATTTGTTTGGACATTTGCTGTAAACAAAATTATGCCTTGAGTTGAAATTTTACATTTATCTGTATGTATTCTATTTGTGTAATTCTGATACTTGGAGCAGAAGTTCTCAAACTGTGGTCTGTGGACCACCAGTGGTACGCGAGCTCCAATCAGGTCGTCCGTGGATAGTTCCCTCTAAGGTGGGCACCTGGGCGACTGCACACGAGAGAATGAAGGGCCACCCACCTAATTAGTGGAGCCACGCAGGCATGGCTTCACTAATTAGGTGCCAGGACCCCGGAGAAGACGCACATGTAAGGTGAGGTGGTGGCCTTGGAGGGAATGGAGGTAGGTAGGAGGGGGCAGTGGGGTGAGAAGAGGGGGTGGGGGGAATTTGGGATGTGCAGGGCTGCGGCAGCCAGAGAAAGAGGCAACTTTCCCCAGCTCCAGGGCTGCGGCTGCCGGGGAGAGACTGCCCTCCTTCCCAGCCTCAGCTCTGTGGCTGCTATGGTGGGGGAGAGAGGGAGAGACCCACCTCCTTCCCAGCTCGGGGGCTGCCGTGGAGGGGAAGAGAGGGCACATCCATCACATTAGAAAGGTAAAACTACTATATGAAAATATGAGTTGTGTGCTTTTATTTGTAGAACAAAAAAAGTCAATTGTTATAAAGTTTTTTTTTATATATATAGCACTTTTATCCAAAGTGTTTTACAGTAGTAAAATGGTACAAAAAATATTTGGAAAGATGATTAAGTGGTCTGCCGAGACCCTCATCAATTTTCAAGTGGTCAACGGGGAAAAAAAAGTTTGAGAACCACTGACTTAGCGGATATGTCTACACAGCAAAACAAAAAAAGGGGGGGGGTGTCCTTAACTCGGATTAGCCTACCTGCATTAGCTGGCTCTGGTTAAAATAGCATAGAAGACATGGCAACTTGCCTTGAAACTCCGATTAGCAGCTCAAGTATAACAGGGCAGCCTGGGGTTGAACCCAGGTTAAAAGCAGAGTTGCTGTGTCTTTACTGCTATTTTAAGTTCACACACATTTTTGTGCATAGACCAGTGATTAGTGGTCTTTCTAGATTAGTGTACCCCTTTCAGGAGTCAGATTGTTGTTGCATACCCCAAGTTTCACTTCACTTAAAAACTACTTGCTTACAAAATCAGACATACAAATATAAAAGTGTCACAGCACCCTATCACTGAAAAATTGCTTATTTTCTTAGTTTGTACTTACTTCGCTAGTGCTTTTATGTAGGCTGTTGTAAAACTAAGCAAACATCTAGATGAGTTGATGTACCCCCTGGAAGACCCCTGAATACCCCCAGGGGTACACGTACCGCTGGTGTAGGTGAATCCTAAGTGAAGCCATTTGTGGTGAAAAAGTTATTACAATGAAAATGATTCACCCCTCTCTGCTGGCCTGTAGTGTCTCCAAATGATACATTTCTTATCTCTAGACGTGGTTTCAGCTTTCACTCTGAATGATTAAGGGCCACATCCCGTCTGTCATCTATGGCGGTGCAAAGACCTGGTCTTGTGGGACTGGTGTTGCTCCTTTGCAGAAAGCATGGCTGGATTTGGAGGTCCACAACCACTGTATACTGTGAAGCTTTGCAAAGTTTTATTACAGTGCAGCACTCCAGGGAGTTGTGGGGCTGGGTTGGGACCAGGGCCAATGGATCTGTGGTTTATGGATCCATCTGCCATTCTCCGCCACCGCCACGGGGACTGGTATAAATTTGTGGCTGCAGTTGTGGCCACAGTAGTTGCTCTGGGGCTTATGGAAGAGGCCTCCTCACCTCAGCCTCAATCCATTATCCCTATGACTCAAGCCGCACACTAGTTCTAGGACTATATAGTCTGATGGCTGCATGCATGTTCCTGTACATGCAATACATCACGATTGCATTCTGAGTATGCATGGTATAAAATATACTTGCAGGTATGTTCGCTCATGCATCCTTCTGCCTCAGAGTTCATTCTCTTGTGTTGCAGCTTTGTGCCCGAGTCTCCTTCCTCAGAAAGCAATGTTGTTTCAACAAGGAAGCAGCCACCAAATAGCCGGCTGTCTTCTCTCTCTTCTCAAACGGAACCTGCCTCCATGATCGATGAGCATGATTCCTCAAAAGACCAAAGGAGCACAAGTTTGGACCGTTCCAGCACTGATATGGATTCAACTGATGGTATTGTGGGACCCCTTCCACCAGATACCTACCCTGAGGAGAAAACCATTGACTTCTCCTTCATTGATGTAAGTCTCCATAAAGGGAAAGAGTTGTTCATTTTTAAGTACGTTACCTATACTGTTAGCAAAATGCTATGCCATGTCTTCTCCCAACTTTATGTTCAACCTTGTGCTATACTTCTTTATCCTTTAAGGCTTCTTCATTGACTTCTTGTGTGAAAAGTTCAAGATAAATTGCAATGAAAGTTCTTGTGACTGCCCTTCCTATTAAGTCTGTGTGAATTCTATTAAAAGAGTCCAAAGGGACAATGGTTTGCACTTCAGTTGGTCATTTTTCAGTCTGCTCCTAGGAGATGTGCTGTGAAAAAGAGTTTAATGTCTCTAGGAAATGGAAGCCATACATTTCTGAGACAACATAGTTAAGTGATACAAATTGCTAGTGCTTCACCATGCTGTGAGAAATGCAGATTAAGCTACAGATATTGGATTTTAATACTACTTTTCTAATTGACAATGGGACCATCTTTCTGCAGTCTTTTAAAAATCCTGTTCCTAAAATGATTTTAGTTTAAAGAGAATCTTTTGAGAAATTGAGAATCCTGAATTGCACAGGAATGTTGGTAATATAGTGCCTAGTCATGCAGACTGTACTCCGCTTCAGTGCTACCCGAGAGCATACCTACAGATCATGGGGATTTCTCCTTTCAGGTACAGTCGCTGTGAATTAAGAATTTATCTTGAATAAGAGTTGCTCGTCCTTTCTTATATGTTAGCTAGGGGCAGATACTGTAGAAAGCTAAACACACACATACATACACACACACACACTCTCTCTCTCTCTCCCCCCCCCCCCTCCCCCCTTGTTTTGTAGTAGAATTTACAGCTTTGGGGAAGGTGGAACGTAGAATGTCTCAGAAGCCGCTACAATGCATCTATTCACGTATTCGTGTAGCTGACCTGAATAGCAGTAGTGTAGCTGAACAACAGACTGCACTGTAAAATGTCTGAAGGAGGCTAACGCTTTCTATTCCCATAACTAAGGATAATAGTCCAGATCCTGGGCAGTGCAGCACAGCGGTTTCACACCTTACTGCCAGTGGATTCTGGGTGTAGGGTACCTTGTAGTGGCCTCTGCTATAGGACCATAGATCCCATCCTCCCAGCAGCTGCCAGTGCCATTTCAAAACAGTGATGACTTCAAGCAGAACAGTCGAAGTCCAGAAGGCCCCTGTGCTGTTTGGGTGAATGGTTAGTTTCTGAACTGAGAACTTTTAAAATATTTGTTTTAAAATAGAAGCTTTCAGGGTAGAATGGAGGGCCCAGGGCCTCTGGGAAAAGACTCAGTTATAATCAGCAATGAATTATATCACTAAATACAACTGCTCTACTTTTGCTCTACTGTAATCCATTCAGTTTTCCTTTGTGCATGGAGATGGCATTGTTTTAAATAACTGATCAGCTCCTTTTTGCCAAAAGCCATGGTATTTAACTTTCATTCTTTTTGTTGCTGGCAAACAGCTTGACATTTCTGAGGATGGGGACCCATCAGAGCTGGGAAAATATAGCAGACTATCCGAGGGAGAGAGAGTTGCATAATCACTTTATGGTTTTGCAAGTCCCTGCCTTCTGATTGGCTGATGGCCATTGTTACCTAGTAAGAGCACACAGATTATCATAAGTTGGTTATTGAAAAATAACTCTGCAGTGATGCAGCTCAAACATCCAGAACTAAGCAGAGTTCAGGGAACTGTCCAAATGGGAAACCCCTGTAGTTCCATACCCGTTACTGTGCAGCATCTCAGCACTCTGAGTGAATTTGATTTAATTGGAGTTTAAAATAACGGTGATAATAATTAAAACAAAAGTAGTCTTAACTAAGCTGAAATATGGTTATGCTTAAAAATAAGACCTGAAGTAGTTATGGAACGAACCACCCTATTTTCAGACTAATTGAAATTCCCACATTTGAGGGTAACATTTTTCTTTTTAAAAGCAAACTTCTATACTGGATTCCAGTGTCCTGAAAACCCGTGTGCAGCTCAGCAAAAGGATTCGCCACCGGGCACCTAGCTCCCATTCGCTCAGGAGAAGCAGACGGATAGAGTCTGAAAACAAACTCACTGTGATGCAGGAGACTGACAGCACTTGGATGTTTAAAGACTCCACAGGTATCCCTCTGTCCTGTGAAATAATTAGTCATGGTGCTGCGGGGTTGGAGATATATTTTGTCCTCCATAGAATCTTTTCTCTTCTTTGAGCTAATGTCCCTGTGAGTACTCCACTATAGTTGTGTGCGTGCCTGCGCATCTTCAGTCAGAGATTTTTGTCAACAGTGTGTGCAGATTCATGCTTGTGCCCTACATAGCCTGAGGATATACAGGGAGAGATAGACTCCAGTTCCTTCTCAACCTGTGGCTAGAGATGTCCACTAACTTAGCATACCTGCCTTGTTTTTTTCCTTGTTGTTCCTATTATTTTATTAATGTTAGTCACTCATTTTAGTTTGTTGTTGTTTTATATTTTCTTTCCCCAGCACAAGTTCTTTCCTCAGCACAAGTGGTTTAGCGGGTCCCCCCTTTTGTTCCATGGTCAGGGCCTCTTGCCCTTGGCCCCTGTTCATTTGCCACCTTTCTTTCTTGGGCGTGCCCAAAACCCTGGGCTTCAAACCTTGACAGACCTGACACAGGTCCTTTTCTCTCAAGGATGGGCATTCCAGCAGTCTCAGAGAGTCTCACATCCCATCAAAGTGCAAGTCTGCTTTAGCTTCAAGAGCAGATCCTGGAACTTGAGAGAGGCTGAAGTTGCTCCTTATCGAGCGTTCACTTTGAGACCCACCACCACTTCATAGGCCAAATCTTCCCCTGCACCTTTCCACCCCCTCACCCATACACTGGAGTCAGCCTCTCAGGCCACTCCAGTGAGTTCTTCAGCTCCAGTGAGCAGAGATAAAGGGACACCTTCGAAGACTTCAAAATCTACTAAAAAGAAAATACCTTGATCCCCAGATGGGAGAAATTGGCCCAGAGACCAGGAAATAAGATGGGCCTCACAAGATGGGTAATGCCGAGGCTTATAGTTCCTCTGGTACCAAGAGGTTGGTACCTCCAAAAAAGGCTTCTAGCACACTGTGTACCAAGAAGTCTCTCGGCAAGCAAGTGGTAGCCTCCATTGGAGCCCTGCAAGCATAGGGAGGGACTCTTTGAAGAAAGCATCTTTCACCTCTTCCTTGAGCCATGGTCATAAAGGGCGTACGGACCATCCCATCCATACCCTCACCAGTACCACTTGACGCATCTCAACCTGAGGATCAGTGTCTAAGAGCTCTGATACTGGTTGGATTTCTTTCTCAAGAGGCTCTCCAAATGTCAGTAGAGCCCAAATTCCCTCTCCTGAGGAGTGCCAAGAAGGATTTTTGCCAGTACTGATGTACCCTCAGGTACTGGCATACCCTCTAGTGCTGCTGCAACCTCACACAAAATCTTGGTCTCCGGTACCAATGTGACTGCCAATGTCACCAATGTGACTGCCTGTACCAACTTGAGCACGGGTACCGACACCCTTAGCTCCTCCCAGACTCAGACATTTCCATACAGGATTCTACCACCTTTCCTGTGCTGTATCCTAAGGACCCGTCAGCCTTCGTAAGAGCATCCTGAAGGCTCCCTCTCCTTTTCCTTATGCCCTGCCACTTTGGACTTTCTGGAGGAGGAGAGGAGGAGGCCCAACAATTTAATAATCCTCTTCCTCACGAGACAAGGCAGTTATGTCCCCTCCCCATCCTACATGGGTGACTTCAAAGACTTCCAAGAATGGATGAAGAAGGAGGCTGAGGCTTTAACGATCCCTTGGAGGAGATACAAGAACCACAGCACTCCCGGTGCATGTTGTACATACCTCTCCTCAAAGCGAGATAGCCTTGCCCATTAATGATGCCCTATAGCGTCCAGCCCGTACACTATGGCAAACGCTAGCTACTGCCTTACCTACATGCCTGCAGGCTGACAAGAAGCACTATGTACCAGCCACGGGCTCAGAGTGCCTTTTCTCCCATCTCACCGCAAAGTCTCTGGTAGTCAATGCCATTAATAAGAGAAGCAGGCAACGTTGGTCAAGATCAGAGGAGGGCAAACTATGGCCCGCGGGCCGGATCTGGCCCGTCAGGTCTTTCAATCCGGCCCACAGGGTTGCTAGCCCCATGGCGCAGCGGGGCTAAGGCAGGCTCCCTGCCTGCCCTGGCCCCGCGCTGCTCCCGGAAGCGACCGGCACTACATCTCTGCAGCCCCTGAGGGAGGCGGGAGCAGAGGGCTCTCTGCGCTGCCCTCGCCTGAAGGCATTGCCCCCCGCATCTCCCATTGCCCGGGAACGAGGAACCTCGGCCAATGGGAACTTCGGTGGTGGTACCAGCAGGCAAGGGCAGCGCGTGGCAGAGCCGCCTGCCCCATCCCACCCTCAGGAGGCACTGCCGGACATGCTGGCTGCTCGAGGTAAGCGGCACCCCAAACCCCTCCTGCACCCCGCCCCCTGCCGCACCCCTCCTGCCCTGAGCCCCCTCCCACACTCCGCACCCCTCCTGCACCCCAACCGCTTGCCCTGAGCCTCCAACCCCCTGCCCTGAGCCCCCTGCCACACCCCACACCCCTCCTGCACCCCAACCCACTGCCATGATCCCTCTCCTGCACCCCAACCCCCTGCCCTGAGCCCTCTGCCACACCCCTGTGCACCCCAGCCCCCTGCCTTGAGCCCCTTCCTGCACCCCAACCCCATGCCCTGAGTCCCTTCCTGCATTAGCACACCCTCCCACACCCCATACTCCCTCCTGCACCCCCACCCCCTGCCCTGAGCCCCTTCCTGCATACCGCACACCCTCCCATACCCCGCACACCCTCCCGCATCCCAACCCCCAGCCCTATATTCATGGTCCTGCATACAATTTCCCCACCCAGATGTAGCCCTCGGGCCAAAAAGTTTGCCCACCCGTGGTCTAGATCAACACCTCATAACAATGATCTTAAGCTCCTGCACCTTCTCGGCCACAAAAGCTACTCTTTGGCTGCCCTACAGTTCCTGAGTAGTCAGCTATCATGCCTTGATGGCAAAGTACAACATTATGAACTATAGCAAATGTTCTTACTTTTGCCACAAGAGCAGAAGGACCAGTTTCAAGCCCTCGTCACCAAAGGCGATTGTCAAAGTGTATTTACAGTCTTCTCTCAATCAGCTGACCATAGTTATGCATCGAGCTTTATGGCTGCAGTCCTCTGGACTCCCCAGGGAAGTACAGAATACAGTGAAGGATCTTAAGGCTCAATGGATGGGAGAGAAGAGTGTACGATCAAACTAGCCCCTCTGCTGGTTTCTGTTTGAGGGAGATGAAGAGCACGTTGTCCCAGCTATTGCATGGTTGAGTGTGCCAGCTGCTCTGTTCTCGTGTTACTAGTCACTAGCTGCACTTGCATGCACAATTACTGACCTGACTCAATACAACAAGCAGTGTTTATTTGAAGACATTGAATCAGAAATGTTAATATTACAAAGCTACGGCTGGTTTTGGTTCAAGCTGTGACCTCTGATGATGATTGTGCAAAGCCAAAATGTAGTAAAGTAATTTCCAAGTAAGAGGCCAGTGAATGTGAGTGAACTGAGCTATTGTAAACTGAACTGTAACATACACACACGTGCTTTTATGCTTTAATGTATAAACTGAGCAATTCAGAAGCAATAGCTGAATTAATTTAAGTGTACAATTCTGCCCTTTTACAGCCCTAATAAACAGTCTCTCTCTACCATTAGGTATTTACAATGTGCCCATCGCTATGGTATGAGTGCTAAATCATGTGAAATAACTTCCACTAAGTCTTCATGATTCTATTACGTTACATTGTTACATAGGAAGAGGGTTATGAGGTCAAGGCATGGACAGAAAATTTGCTGACCAACTTGCTTTGTTTCTATTTAAATGTGTCTGGGTGTGAAATAACATCTGGTCATTGTACTTTTTGTTAGAAGAGAAATCTACAAAACAGGAAGATTCTGATGAGGAAGAAAAAATACACCAAACTGAGAGATACTCAGCTATGCAACCTCAGAGGCTTCCTGTTTTTCCAGGCATGGACCACTCTGTTCTCAAGGTGAAGATACACCAATCATACTAGATTATGTCAGGAAGCATCTAGTCAGGTATCCCATGATTGACAGTGGCCACCATCAGATGCTCTCCAGAGGAAGGTGCAAGAATCCCAGAAAGGGCAATTTATACATTAACCCAGAGGTTCTCAAACTGTGGGTCAGGACTGCAAGTGGGTCGCGACCCCATTTTAATGGGGTCGCCAGGGCTGGCTTAGCCTTGCTGGGGCCAAAGCCCGAGCCCAACCTCCCGGGGCCGAAGCCTGAGGACTTCAGCCCTGGGCGGTGGGGCTCAGGTTACAGGCCCTCTGCCTGGAGCTGAAGCCCTTGAGTTTTGGCTTTGGTCCCCCCACCGGGGACAGTGAGGTTCGGGGGGGCTCAGGCTTTGGTCCCCCTTCCTGGGGTTGTATAGTAATTTTTGTTGTTGGAAGAGCGTCACGGTGCAATGAAGTTTGAACAGTTCAGAAGAGAAAAATTGATGATCTGTTAGATGACCTAAGAAATTTATAGTGATGTTGTAAATAGCTTTTTCACTCATTGACCCTGTATTATTGATAGAAATATTGGCAGTGGTTTAGAAGGAAATTTAAATTCATAATAGTTTGTGTATGTTTTCAAAACAGCTCAGATTTATGGTAAATTCCATTATGAATGTATGCAGTTTATGGATTTCAGACTTGTGCTTTCTGTTGCTTCATAAGCCAGTGAAATGATTTGAGTGATCAGATTGTCCTCCAAGGAAATCTAAAAGCAGCTTTTTTAAAAATAAACCTTTCTTCTAGGCTCAGCTTCGGAAAAGACAAGAGCCCGAGAGTCCCAGTGAAATAAATTCTGCACAGCTATTTAAATCCCAATTCCAGCAAGGAGCTCCTGGTGGCAGGGTACTGCCCTCTAGTGCTGAGAAGGAGAACAGGTGAGAGAGGAGTTTAAATTCCAGCAAGCAGTAAATTCAGAAATAGCTGTTCATTTCCTTGCTAGGATCCTAGAAGGATATGGCTTATTTTGTTTTTGTTTCTGTAATGAGGGATTGTCATTGAAGGATAAAGTTTATTTTGCTGTGTCCTTAGGTCAGAAGAAATGTCTCCTCAATGGCTGAAAGAGCTGAAATCGAAGAAGAGGCAGAGCCAGCACGAGAATCAGGTTTGAGAAGGTACAGTACAGCAAAAACAGAGGGGTTACTCTGTAGCATTTGCATTTGACTGCTTTGCTGTGAAGTCTCCTGTCTTTTCAGCCAAAAGAGATTCTTAGCTGAAGGAGAAAGTACCATGCAGTTACCTTTAGCCCTTGCAGCCTGGCAGAAACAATGTATGTTCGGTATTCCCACCCTATTTCCACAGGGCATGGGTGAGCTCTTTCTGTGACCGGTACAGCCATGTGGATGGACATGCAGCAGACACATCTTTGCAATGCTCAAGCCCCTTAAAGCTGATGCTAATGATAAGCTTTGACTGGAAAATCTGTTCTGAACATTAACACGGACTCTGCAAGCATAGAGTATACACACGTTGTAGGTAACTGTGCAATCCATGTCCAAGGCAGTAAAATATTTCCATAATGAAGCAGATCAGATTTCATTGGAATTTACTGTACAGATTATGCAGTTTCCCCCTTTCCCTTATTGTTGTGTAGCCTTATTTACTAGCCCAGATGAAGGCACTATTAACTTCTCGACAGGCAATTCTATTATAATAACATTCATTAGTCTGCTAATTTTATAACAATATGTAGAGTCCTACTACTAAGTGTTGTCACTGGTTAACGGGCAGGTTCTGCCGATAGATGTTTAAACCATTGGAGCACTTGGTTTCAGTGATGCTCTTAATAGTTCATATGCAATTTAATAACACAAAATAGCTTGTGACCGCTGCTGCTGCACCAGCAACATGCAAAGAACATCATCGATGGTGCACACATATCACAGAGACTTGAGAGTCCCGAGGGTGATGGGGGTTGGTTAAATTTATGAACAATGTCATACTGCAGCTATTCAAAGAGCTTCTGTTTTTTTCCCCCCTTTTCAGACCCTGATTATGACTAGGAAAAGACATAGAAGTATAACAGAAGCCTTAACTCATCTGAACCTAAAATTCACACATCATGCTGCTGCTGTTTGCTTCCTGCCTCGACTGCTATGTGCATGGTGCCTTCCTGCTTTGTGGAGAAAGCTGCTTAATATTCATAGACAAATACAAAGCTGTATCTTCTCAGATAGGGAAGGATATAGTCACTTTAGAACTACTTGAAGTAAGAGATGATGCAGTATAGTTAGCACTTCAGAAGGTCTTGCCTGAGGGTAACATTTGTTCTAGGATATACGGTGCATCACAAAAAGTCCCCTTGCCTTCGAACAAAGATGACATCTCTGCAGAATCAAGCTATGTTCAGCAACTCAAGCATGTGAATGCTGGTAGGCATGTCAAGTGGAAAGGCTGGGGTTTGTATTTGTTTATGAAAATAACAAAATTTTAAATTAAATCATCTTTCTTGTGAACTAATAGTGGTTCAAATTCAGAATGAAGTTTGTGGAAGAGAGAGTGAAAGAACAAATCATGTTTACTGCCATATTAAAAAATTAAACTTGACTGATATTTTTTTAAAGGTATTTTTGATTGGCTGATGCTTGCACATGATCTGCTGATCAGGCAGATCAAGTTGATTTTTAGATTGAGCATAATGTTAATTTTTCATTCTTTAACTGGGATTGTCTGGTCTGTCAGCATGTAGTGTAATTGCATCATTAGAATGTCATATTCTTAAGACGATAAAGCAATAATGTCAACCAATTCTCTTTAAAAATAGATGTAAATATTGTTTTTATTACTAAAAAGGAAGAGACGAGAAGGATGTATAGTCTTGTCAATATGAGGGTTCCAGGTAATTGTTGAATGTCATTCTAGAAGCACCTCAGATTGTCTCACTGGATATTTTTATTAGTTACCTTTGTAAATATCAATTTTAAGTGTTTATTTTTATGCTGATTTTGTGGGATAACCTAAATGCAATCTCTCACTTCTCAACTGTTTATGAAATGATCTATATATTTTACTTTAAGACCAAATGTTGGTATGTTAACAATGTAGATAATACTAACATCACAACACAGCTGTGACAGTCACATCAAAAGAGTTTTGATGTCTTTGGATCCAGATTCTGAAATCGGCAAGATTTTTTTAAACCAAGAAGTCCATTTATAAGTAAATTTATAAATGGATATTGTATTTAAAATATGTATTAGTTACTTTCTTTTCCCCAAGTGCTCTTTTCAGAAAATCTTTAAAAATATACGCTAACAGGAAAGCTCATTCTGTAAGGTAGGCGCGCCCAGGACTCCGATAAGGAGAGTAAGTGACATGGAAAGGAAAATTGAATCAAAGTAGATGAGCTCTTTCTATTCTGCTATTCTCGTAACCTTCTGTGGCAAACTGTTTGGGCCTCAACAGTCAAAGGTGATGAAGCTGCACATAGTTGCATTGTGGGAACAAAACACACAGTTCTTGTCTCCTGCTGAAAGGTTATTTAAATTAAATGTTAAAAATCAGGCACCAGCACTTGCACGCATTTTCCCTTTTTCTGCTCAGCGTTTCAGAAGGCTTGTCTTATGTGGTACTACCACAACAGTGCACCTGCTAGCCAAAGGGATAACCTTTGTCTGCCATCCATCAAGTTGTTAGCTGCCATAAACCATGTGCCAACTCTTATCATAAAGAAGTCACAAATGAGGTGATTTCACTCCCAGCCCGTACTTCAGTAAATAACTGCAGTATGTCAAGAGAGATGACCAGTATGCTCTTCTCCCATATATCAGAGTTCTAACAGTAGCACCCCTTATTTTATAGAAATGCAAATGAATATTTTTCCACTTCAAAATAAAAATATCTTTGTTCAGTTCTTTGCCCTGCTCCATGTAAGAGAGGTGACAATGCCAGAGACACTGCTTTTACAGTTTCTTCTTCCACAGGTCAGTGAATTCTCAAATATTACTGCCGAACAGAGTCACACTTCTGCCCTCTTTCATGTGGATAACTCCCCCTCTCCCCCCGCCGCCCATAATGGGAAGGGGAAGAAGCTTCCAGAGGAGCGCATTTGTCCAAACTCTTAAAGAGACACTGTTGACTGCTTTTTAAAACTAGTTGTATATATTTTCTGCCCATTGTTTATGTGGTGTGGGACCTGTTTTTATTTTGGAAATGTAACTTTTAGGCAAGCTTTGTATTTTTCTGTGCTTGTAATGAATCAGCCAGCTTGTTTTGTCAGTTGTGTACCAGATGTGGTGTTGGCGTGTACAATTTGAACAGTATTAGCTGCAGGGTTTTTAGGTGTGACAGAAGAATGTTGGTCACTTTTAATTTCCCTTGCTAAGCGTGTGGGTGGCTTTTTTTGTTTTGTTTTTTGTTTTTGTTTCTGTTTTTTTAAGATATTCAAAAGCCAGATAAATTTCCTTGTGACCATAAAAACGCTGAGGGAGGTTTAATTTTAGGATTGAGCAACTTGATGGTGTCTCTTTAATGACAGTCAGAGCATTTTGTCTAACACTTCCTGATGCAACAAAATGAAAGCCACAAACTCTTTAGATTGTTAGCTGCAGTGTTTTTGCTGTGCATTTTGATACACTGAGGGATTGGTTTTGCATATTGGCAAAGCCCTTTGAATGAGTATATGTTTCCATTTCTTCATGGACAATGCACTGAAATTTACTGTAGTTTTACTGCTAGTGAGAAATGTTTAATCTTAAATATGTATGACTAAAAAAAATCTTTAGGATAAGGTTGAATGGGATAGTGGTTTTTTTCTGATCTTTTATTTCTTCGTATTGTATGTGAATTAAATATCTATTTTCTTTTGTGACTCCAGGTTCCCACCATGTAATTATTGACATCATAAATATTTATTACACATATAACATGCTTTAAAACTTTCTTTAGATAAATTCCATTTTAATTTTAAATAATGCTTATGAAACTTTTTACTATTTTACTTTAACAATCACAGATTAAAACTTGCTGTTAATATGAGCCAGGAATGAGCTCTTACCTGCAGCATGTTCTTCATGTTTGATTTTTTTTGGTAAGTTTTAACTCTTAACTCACTTTTACTTGAACTCCTGTTGTAAGTGTGATAGATGGAGATAGCTGGTGTTTGGCATTTGCCATTGAATACAAGGTGCTTTTGCAGAAGTATTTTGTTCTTTTTATTTAAGACCATCACAGTTTTATCTGCTCTTCATCCCACAGCTGCATTAGTAGATCAATAGTTTCAAAAAGTAAATGTAAATCAGGCTGGTGTATGGAACTTGGAAATTGGTCAGTAATGCCCCTTTTTTCACTGAAATTAGGAGAATCCTCCCCTAGAATTTTAATCCACTGATGTTTTAGAATCAGTACAAGTCTGTAAATTTCATATTCACTGGAATCGCCAATTGGCCTTTTCTTCTCCTTTATTCGTTTTGCAAATTCACCTTGTTTATGGCTGTGTGTCTTGAGGTTAATACAGTATATGCTAAGTCAGTGTTTTTACTGGTTTTGTATTACCTGCTGTACACAAAGATGCTAAATTTCTGCTTTCCATTTTAACATTTTTAACATGGTTGTGTAGGATTAAAAAACTTGCTTTTTGCTTGCACAGAGTTTTAGCTTTCCACACTCTGGTATTTTGTTTTGATCGCCTAGTAATTGCTGGCAAATTACCAGAAGCATTGTATATCAGAAACTGCCGGCTACTAATTCACAGATCATAGAATCATAGAATTGTAGGGACCTCGAGAGGTCATCTAGTCCAGTCCCCTGTCCTCAAGACAGGCCTAAGTATTATCTAGACCATCTCTGACAAATGATTGTCTAACCTCCTCTTAAAAACCTCCAATGAGAGAGATTTCACAACCTCCCTAGGCAATTTTTCCAATGTTTAACTACCCTGACAGTTAGGAAGTTTTTCCTAATGTCTAACCTAAACCTCCCTTGCTGCTATTTAAGCCCATAGCTTCTTGTCCTAGCCTCAGAGGTTAACAAGTACAATTTTTCTCCCTTCTTGTAACAGTCTTTTATGTACTTGAAAACTGTTCTCATGTCCCCTCTGTCTTCTCTTCTCCAGACTAAACAAACCCAATTCTTTCAATCTTTCCTCATAGGTGATGTTTCCTAAACCTTTCATCGTTTTTGTTGCTCTTCTCTGGACTTTCTCCAATATGTCCACATATGTTTGCAAACTTTTGCCCAACCATTCTATCCAGAGCAGCATTATCAATTAGTTTATCATGAATTTTACAAGTTTGCACATGTACTTAATATGTCTGCAATGTGTAAGGTAGCAAACCGTGGATGTGGTTTAATTGAAGTTGCTACATGGAGAGCCCTGCTGAACCAAAATAGCACAATAGCGATCAGAACAATTCTAGGATAAGTTTAATATAAATAGTTTGGAATTCTTTAAAAATCTAGGCACCCAGTGATGTTAGCTGCCTTCTTTACGCTTTGCATCCTGGCTATGTACAGGGCTATGCCCAATACCATTAAAGGTATGCAGTGGAAACTGAGAGTAATTGGCTTTTGAAGGGCCTGTCACACATTTTATTTGAATCTTTGGAACCAAAAGAGTTGATCAATCCAAACTCCCATTGCGCCAAATGTCCAAAATGTTACAATTCTGTGACGATAGAAATGTGTTTTAGAAATGAACAAGCAATGTGTTCTATAGGATAAGAGAAGGAGTTGTGTGAAGGTGTCCTGTGTAGAATAATTGGCATAAATTAGGCATGGTCTGTTTTGTAAAATATAATGGAAGTCACTGGAATGTAATTATTTGGGAGATGCAAATATGTTCACTATGGCTGTTCTGAGGGTGTAAAGGTTCACTGCTAACTTACTGAAATTTGGTTTTCTTCGAGTAGGCCAAATGGGTCAGTCCCATAGACTGTTAAACCTCTGTCAGTCTAGTTGGGCCCAGTGTCTCTTATTACCATACAAATACCTTTCCGTGTCAGCGAAGTATAAAACCCCTTCAGTCAGGCTGAGCTGTACCTGAACTGATAACTGTCACTGATCCAGACTTCTGCAGTTGGACAGTTCAGGCAGGTTAAACCGCAAGAGAGAATCTGCCGT